CAAATATTTCGCAAAAAGCGCACCCAGGATGAAGTCTACAACGTATGCGCACACACATACACACACTTATTAGCAAGCATGTCCTCATAATGAAGAGAAAGCTGGTCAATACTACCTCGAGAGACTCTTAACAACAAAGATTTAAAGAGATGATGTATAATATCTGCTTCCCAGACATGCTTCTTATTTCCGAACAGGATTTTTAGAGGGGATTATAAACACACGGTTTAGCCATAATAAGATGTTATGTATCACATAAGCCTCTAAAAACTGCTCTAAAATGTAATTACATTTTTATAATCTTCACTGCTTTAGGTAACAGAACAAGACAAAGATCTTCATATAGCGATCAAGGATGTTTTACGAGAGGATACCAAACGGGAAAAATGTGAGTTGTACATCTATTTATTATCACATTCTTTGGAATACTTGATTCTGATTGGTTAAAGAAGAATGAGTCCTCTGTTGAGGAGAAAACAGAGGTTATTATATTTGGGCCTAATGATTAGTCAAATTGTAAACGCCCCATTTTAGGCAACTTGAAGGAGTTCGGATCACCCCAAATACAAAACCTGGACGTAACATTAGATCAGAACTTTTTAATATTTAAATTTAATACATTAAATTTTAATAAACGTAATAGATTTAATAAACACATTTCAAGTGTGTTTGGAAATAGCTTTTATCAACTTCGCCTTCTCTCTAAAATGAAGTCCTCCCTCTCTTTACATTCTCTAGAAATTGCCCTACGTGCGCTTATAACCTCCCGGTTAGACTATTGTAACTCTCTGTATTTGGGGCTGCCTAAAGCCTGATTTATACTTTCACCTGGTGCCGCATCGCTGACCTCCGCTGACTGCACACGCATCTCACGGAATGGACAAAGCTTTTATACTGGATGCGCTTGCCATTGTGATATTCTTTAAAATGACAGGGGGCGGTCAAAAGAAATCCACCATGAAATTTGACGGATAAACTGTGAAGTAGATATCATATCATTAATATTATTGAAGATTTTTAAACTAATATTATAATATTATAATTATAATATTATTATTATTTTATAAATTATTTTAATGATTATAAGGATTTTTATAACCATTCAAGATTTTTTTAATCAAATTTTGATGCATCACGCTTTTGTTCAAATCTTGGACAGTTTTATGTATTGAAGTTTATTAAACTATCAATGACAAGAGAACATGGGTTGCTCTACAAATATTTTTTGTTATGGCAAGAATGTAGTACAGTAATGGTCCAACATTCCTGATCATTATCCCCAGTAAAGCCTAGAAAAACAGGGCATCAGTATATTGTAAACCAATAGGTTCAAATATATTCCTTTCCAGTCATCGAAGAAATAGTTTGTTACTAAATTTTAGTTTTATGACTATTCAATTGTTTTAAATTCCAAACTCTAATATATACATCGGTATTAAACCTATAATTGGTGGAATTTCACAAGAAAAAACAATGGTGTGCTTGGTTTTAGCGTAACTTTACTTTTTCATGAGTTATTTACAAGTTTCTGACCACTTATTAAATGTGTTTAATGTGCCGCTCATTGTGTTGGATTGTCACTAATAGAATAAAGTTTTATTAAAACCAAGCACACCCTTGTTTTTCCTGTGAAATGTCCAATGAGTTTGTGTCAAATGACCCCAACTTCAAAATGGCCACCATGGTCACCACCCAGCTTGAAAAGTTTGCCCCCTCACATATACTAATGTGACAAAAACAGGACATTACTATCAGCAACCATTCCCATTTTATTAAGGTGTATCCATATAAATGGCCCACCCTGTATATAAATGAATCGAACTTGAACTAAAGAGAAAGTTCACACAAAAATGAAAGTTCTCTCATCATTTAATAACCTTTTACTTAAAACTGTTTGATGTTCTTTCCCCCGTGGAACACAAAATAAGATATTTTGAAGAATGCTGGAAACCTGTAACCATTGATCTCCATAGTATTTGTTTTTTTCTACTGGAAGTGAATGGTTACAGGTTTTCAGCTTTATTCAACTTCTCTTTTTTACTATTCAACATAATAAAGTAACTCAAACAGGTTTGGAACCACTTGCTAACGAGTAAATAATGAGTACATTTTCAATTTTGGGTGAACTATACCATTCTCATTATATCATTCTACTGAATGCTGAATTATATAGTTGATGGTTGTCTCATTATAAATTTATTTATCTAAGCATTGATTATTTTAAAAGAAACCTAGGTCTTGTTAAACGAATAGAGGATTGGTCTCGTGTTTCTTGTTTTTGCAGATGCAGAGAAAGGATGCCATGTCCTTCATATACTGTCCAGCGTGAGGCAGCGCTACAGCCAGAATCTGAGTCGAGAGGTGCTGGAGGTTGCCCTGACTTTCTTAGAAAGCAACAGTGATATTATAAGCACAACAGAAGCGCACTACATTGTTCTATAGCATCATATTACTTGAAATAATGCCATAAAACAAAATCAAAATGTTTCAAAAATACAATCATGAAGATAGACTTTTAACAATGTATAGAATCCTGTTTTTTTACAATTAATAATTAAAGACGAATATTTATTATTTGCTTGTTGCTTACTTTTCTAACTGCATACTTTTTATAGGTAATTTGTTGTTATTAGCAATAAACGGGAGTTGTTTAGAGAACTGCAACCAGAAGCATATTGTTTGTTCTTTCACTGCTTCACATGTAACATAAGACAGCGGTTCCCAAAGTGAGGGTCGGGACCTCTCGCAGGACAATGAGGGTGGGGAGGGGGTTGTCATTTGGTGATTTCCAAAAATCTAATTCATTTTATTAAACTATTAGAATTACCATTGCTTATTGCAAACAATAAGCTCTGTGTTCAAACAGAGTTCATCACACTTGATCCTGGTTTATACTCGATGCGCCCACTAGTTTGCTTGAATTGATGATATGACATCATCGTGGAGTTTGCAGAGGTTCGCTTTGGGTGCGCGCGACGTGATTTCGGCCGGCGGAGTGCATGATTTTTTTTTGAGACTTGAGCTAACAGTGTGCTCTGCGCCGCGTTTGATTTGAGTTGAATTTGAATCACTTTGAAGAGATTTTGTCTGAAACGGGTACGACTGTACAATCATCTTAATGATCCGTGATAGAGATAACCAGATGACCAATAATTCTTGGCTTAAAATTGCAACAGCAGTGGGAAATGAGGAGTTTTTCTTAAAAGGTTTGGAAAAACCTGAGGAATAAGTTTGTTGAATCTAAAAAGAGAGGCCATGGAAAAAATGGAGACCCAGGTACACAATTAAAAAATATGTTTTTCCACCATTTGTAGCTTTTACACTAATATATTACAATTTTGAATTTAAAACAATGTAACAGCTACAAAACTATAATTAAAGAACAAATTATTTCTTTGATAACTGGAAATGAATGTTTGAACCTATCGGTTTAAAATAAATTGACGCCCTGTTTTTCTAGGCTTTACTGGTGATAATGGTCAGGAATGTTGGACCATTATTGCCTTTTTAGCATAAGTAGAGGACAGAAACTAGTCAGACAGCAATGTGTGAATTGTGGACTAAATCTACAAAACATCTGTATTTTTTAGTAAGTGTGCTTTTTTTTTTTGCTTTTATTCTTGCCATAATAAAAATATATATTTGTAGAGCAACCCATGTTCCCCTCTCATTAATATTTTAATAAACTTTATTAGGTAAAACTGGGCGAGATATACAACAAAAGCAAGTAATGCGTCAAAATTTGATAAAAAAAATCTTGAATGGTTATAAAATGTTTATAATCATTAAAATAATTTATAAAAATTCTAAGAAATATTTAGTTAAAAAATCTTGAATGATAATGATATGACGTAGTTCTGGAAACTTTCTACTGTTTATCTGTCTGGCTTTACGGTCAGTTTCTTTTGATCGCCCCCTGTCATTTTAAAGAATATCACAACGGCAAATGCAACAAGTATAAAAGCCTTGTCCGTTTTGCGAGGTGCGCGCACAGTCAGCGGAGGTGTGCGATGTGGCGCTTGGCGAAAGTATAAATCCACCTTTACACGTTTTATCTAACTGGTTAATCCTCACATGAAAATACAACTTTTAGCACTTTTGGACCTTAAATGCAAACGCTAGAATTGACAAGCTAGGCTATAAACGGATTACAGTGCCTTCGGGGTGCTCGCCTGTGACATCAGCACACCCTACAGACAACTTTTCAAGCTTATTATTAGAAATATGGTCCATGACAAAGATTTACTCTGTTGGTTTATTATATTATAATCCACGCTATATATCATAAACAAATAAATACGCAAAAACACATTTGTATAAACCTACGTGCCTTTTGCATGTGTTTGAACACAGAGCTTATTATTTGCAATCTTCGAAAGCCTATGTGAAAATCCTTTAGAGATTTTTTCGAGGGCACCAGTTTTATGCTAGTAGCCGATTAGCCCACAAGGTGTCTTCATCATAGTTCCTTCACTCTAACATGATTTTTTGGGGGGTGAACTATCCCTTTAAATGATTGGTTTGAAACTGTAGTTGCACCCAATGACCAGAAGAAGTCACTATGATCTAATAGATACGTCACTGTCCATGAGATGAGCACATCTGTATCTATACCGCGTTCAGGTCTATTTATGCCCAGCGCCTGTATGTATGAGTAACCCAAATCATCACGACCCCTGTTGTTAGTTATTTCAGAAAAGATGACTTCTACGCGCCGCCTGCAGATCTTCTGAAAACCTCTTATACATATTAAGACTACATTCATATCTATGGAGAGTTTATCTTGACTGTTCTTATCCATATAGTCTTGATATTCTACATTTCACTGCATTATTTTCTATCACAAACTGAACCAAACAAACGATTCTCTGTACAAATCCAGCCATTGTCTCACTTACCAAGCAAGACAATAATATGAACACAACACTCGTTTTGTTCCCCCTGTAGAGGCTCTTAAACTGCAACAGAGCCCTTGTCAAGAAGCCCAGCCCCATTGCCCAAATATCCCAGTGTGTGCGCGCGCTTCCTGCCGAATGGACTTCGCGGTGAATGCGCTCCGGCCTTTATGACGCGCGCCGCGCTCACGTTTGAGGAGAATCCCCGACTTCAGACACACTACAAAAGAGACGCGCTTGCTCCTTTTATGACGCGTCGATCCGGATTCCAGAATGTCACTTTAGAACGCGTCTCGATTCGAATTCGAATTCGGCTGGAACGCGGCGGTCACAGAATCCGCTCTGCGCTAGGAGAGAAATGGATACCCGGGTGATCGTTTCCTGCAGAGGGATATAAGTTTTGCCTCGTTCATCACTCGATATTCATATCTACATTACGTCAAGGGGGAATAAACGGACTGTGTGAACGGCCGGGCCGGGGGGTAACAATCGTTTGCATTCACTGAAGCGATATTCTCCGCGCAGACGTCTTCGTGACTGCCTGTCCGTTTATTCTGACCACTAACGGTGCTTCCGAAGCCTCCGTTTTCACAATGCAGTTCCGGACAGTTTTGGATGTAAAAGTGGTGGATGTGGAGAAGAGGAGGAATCCATCCAAACATTACGTGAGTTGGCTACCTATTCACCTTGCGTCCTTCTCGAACCTGATGCTGAGATACAGATAAAGAAAGACGCATCTGGATCACGATAAAGAACATTTCTGCGACGTCGTGAACGCCAGATACGTTTGCGTTGTCCTCTAAAAAGTATGGCCATTGTCATTAGCAGAGATGAGTCAGAGAGTTGCTATATGTTGTTATTTTTTATTGGAGGATAATGCACGTATAAGCCATACATACATCCGTGGTGCATGAATGAACACGGCTACAGTTTATTATATGAAAACAGTACCATCTAACAAAACAATTGCAGATTGAACCTATGTAAGCTCTTCTCAACCATACTCACTTTACTTGACATTAAGTGGTGGATATTTGCCTCATAGGATTATTCATTTATTCATTTTCTTTTCGGCTTAGTCCCTTAATTATTCAGGGGTCGCCCCAGCAGAATGAACCGCCAACTTATCCAGCAATTGTTTTACACAGCGAATGCTCTTCCAGCTGCGACCCATCACTGGGAATTCGATGAATTATGTGTTGTTAAAACTTAAACACATCATTCATTACAGAATTGAATGATCACTTTTCTGGAGGTAACATCAGTGTGCGAATTATACATTGAGGATCATGGAGGTCAACTGTTTCGGTTTGTGTAATACATGCTTCAGTCATTTATGAATTTATTTTTAATTAAATTTTAAATAATTATTCTAGTTTATTAATAACACTTATTTAAGTTTTCTTTGTTTTGAGGGATATTTAGTGTATTCTGACCTACTTTTCTGATTAGCTACACAGTAAAAAAAAAAATCAGTTATTTATTTATTTTTTTTCCAGCAGCTGGAAAAAAAACCTGTAAAATAACTGCTGTTAAATTACAGACATTTGCCGTTTTTTTCCTTTTTTTTAAAAACGAAAAATAACAGATTTTTTTAACAGTCTATTTCAGATATTGCTGTAGCTTAAACTTTAAACTATGTGTCTACTTTGATTTTAATTTGAAGCTAAATATAGATACAAACATCTATTTTACAAGAAAACAAAGTCTTGTGAACATGATGTCTATTGGCGCTCTAGATCTGACGCTTTTTTAGACTTTTTTCTCGAATAGACTGATTGGCGCAATTAATCGTTTGAACTGTTATAGGGATGGTCAAATGTATATTTATAATATCTAAAATTTTAATTATTAACATTTTACTTTAAATACAGATCAGAGTGAAATATTTCTCAGTATTAAAAAAAAATGACCCCTCCCCCATAGATCTCATTTTCACCAACTTTAGGAGGGATGAAGGGTTCATTATGTAGGGTCAATCCCCCCCAAACCCCCCTGGGTAATATCAATTGCACAATTATGATATTATTAACATCAATTAAAAAAAAACAATATTGAATTGTAATCCTCCACACAAAACGAACAGTTTATTAACATTATGTATTTGAATATTTGGCAACTCACTAACGATTCAGAGGAACTGGTCAGTGGCTTGGGATGTTTGGTGTCACTTTCAGACACACCTCACTTTTTCCAGCAATTTAGGCCACAAGTCCCTGAGTTTGGTGGCCTGAAAAAGTGACCATATATGGCTGGAGTAGAAACGTATGTGTTTCCTGCAAAAGATGGGCTCTGAAGTTTGTTTGAAATATTTATACGATTTTGTGAAAGCATGTGCTAGAAACTAGATACACATAAATTATATAGGGTGCATATTTTTTTTTTAAACCTAGTTCATTTACCAGCTTGATGTACTGAGTTGAATACGTATTAACATGCTTTCTCAGTATGTTGCATTGCGTTTTTTAGTCATTCATTAATTTTTTTTTCGGCTTAGACCCTTTATTAATCTGGGGTCGGCACAGCGGAATGAGCCGCCAGCTTATCCATCATGTTTTACACAGCGTATGCCCTTTCAGCTGCAACCCAGTAATGGGAAACATCCATACACACTCATTCACAAACATACACAATAGTAGTTTAGTTCATCCAATTCACCTATAGCGCATGTCTTTAGACTGTGAGGGAGAACATGCAAACTCCACACAGAAATGCCAACTGGCCCAGCAGGGACTCGAACCAGCGGCCTTCTGGCAGTGAGGCGATATTGCTAACCACTGAGCCACCGTGTCGCCCCCTGTGTTTTTAAATTTAATAGAAATTTCCAGTTATCCAATTTTTTATTACTAATGACTCAATTCATATAACAGTTGATTTTGTTTGTGTGTGTGTGTTTGGCGTATCTTTCTTTAATAAAAAATTAACCTAAAGTAAAAACCTAACGATCCAGTTCTCCTTCATGATTTGAGAATGATCCAAGGAGTATTGTGTGCGTCAGTGAAAGCAAATATATCTGACCTACTGTACACAGTTCAGATAGCTAATGTTACCAATTAGCTTATTAGCTGACCTATTTCTAGTGTGCAAATCAAATAAAAGATTTGAATATGTCCGTTTAAGTTAAAAGGATTGACACCCCAAACCCAATTTGAACAGCAAACCAAATATTCTAGTTGTTTACATACTTTTTAATGCTCTTTTTTTCTTTTTTAAACCAGAAATTGTCTTGTTTATAGCAAATAGTGAGCAGCATTTAAGGTTTTAAAGATAGAAACACACCACAGAGGTGGTCCAGTGCACATTTTATTTTGGGTTAACAGTTTATGTGTTATTTAATTAAAAAAAAAAATTAAGTTTATTATTGGTTTAGTGCATTTGGGAACATTTGTTATCATGAAGGAAACACAAGTTATGAGATTAAACACTATATAAAATACAAGACATGCACCATTCATCTGATGTGTGTGTCATAAGTTACATTTTGTCATCTGACAACCAGGTCTGGATATAATCCAATTTTTCTCAAAAGTTTTATCAATCTCTAATTTCTGAGTCAAAAGAAAAGGTGCGCTTTTCTGTATGGTCAGGATTATTGTTACGTTTTCATAAAATTTTGTTGACACTGCTTTCAAACCACTGTACTGTAAAACTGTAAAAATACTGTATATACCACTATACTGGATACTGTAAAAAAGTTAAGGTAACTCAAACTATTTGAGGAAACTGATTGCAACAAACCAAGTTCAAAAACTAATCCTAATGAGTACTGTGAACTTACTCCATTCGAGTAAACGAAGCAATTTGAGCACACACTCAAATTAAAAAAAAAAAAAATTCTCGTTCAAACTACTTAATAATAATAAAAAATAGCTGAACCAACACAATTGTTGAGATTTCATTGGGACAACTTGCATTTTTTTATGTTCAATCTAAGTGTAACTTAATCGATTTGTGTTGGGACAACATGAATGAATTGTGTGGAAACTCAAACCGTTTGAGGAAACCGATTGCAAAATTGAGTTTGAGTTAAAAACTAATCTACATGAGTACTGTGAACTTACTCCATTTAAGTTGCAGTAATGAGGCATTTAATTAACTCATTATCTTCAACACTACACTGAAAAAATTATTCTGAGATGATTTCTTGGATTTACTTAATGTTTAATGTTAAGTGGCTGTAAACAATTTATTTTGGCTGAATTTAAACAAACAAATTAAGTTGAATTTTATTAAATTTACTTTGTTTAAATTCAACTCAAATAAATTATTTGCAACAGTTTTGCAAACATCATTTTTTTCAGCGTATGTTCAAAACTCTTCAATTCAGTAGAATTAACTTTCAGCAAATTTTGAGTTCACTACACTTATTTCATTTCATAAAGTTGCCTGTTGTAATGTATATAGTGGTACGTTTTCAGAATGAGCATGGGTTGTTGATTTGTGTTGGGACAACATGAAAGAATTGTGTTAAACCCAGCATTTTTTACACTGTAAAAAAACAAATAATCCACACAATTCCACACAATCGATGTGTGCTGGGGCAACACGACGCAATTTAGTTAACTTATTAGTTTGTACAATTTTAAGTGGATTAAACATAAAACATTTAAGTTGTCCCCAAAAACCCCAAGAATTGTGTGTTGTTTCAGCTAATTTTAAAGAATTTAAAGAAGTAGTTTTAACAAGCAGCAATATATATATATATATATATATATATATATATATATATATATATATATATATATATATATATATTAGGGATGTAACGGTATTGGTATTGTAAATACCGTCATACCGCAATAGAAAATTTTTTCGATATTACCGTAGTCGATGACTCGATAAAACTATAGGTCTTTTGAGAAAATTTGCTCAGGCAAATGAAGCGAACGGGAGGTAGCGGAAACTACAATTCCCATCAGCCCAGGCGTGGCCATCATCCTTTGCGGTCTGTTGTCGCTACAGATCCAGTAATGCGGAAATGGAGTGTGCTCCTAGTAGCGGGGATGAAAAAGAGCTGGAAATGATCGAACCTAAAGCGAGTGTTGTCGCCGCGCGCGTACTGAATAGCGGTGTTGTCGCTCGCGTTCTGATCAGCTGTGTTGTCGCATGCGTACTGTAAAGCATGGAGGGGGGGGTTGAGCGCGCATACTCAAGAGCGGTGTTGTCGCGCGCCTACTGAAGGGCGGGACGGAGGGTGTGTCACGTCGCGGGGGAACTTTAGATCATTTTGGAAAAGCATTTTCTATCCAAGACTAAAAAGGGCATGTGCACTGCACAGGTTGAGCCCTATGTGTGCACGTGCCTGCAAGTTGGGGAATACGACTAATAACAGTCATGGGGACTGCAGAAACACAGCACACTGTTCAGATTGATGCAGACATTGACTTGTACCACAAAGATACCTCTATCTCACTCATGGCTTGTCCTCTCAAGTGGGGGAAAGACAATGCACAACGTTACCCACTGCTGTCAACCTGGGCCAAGTCATATCTCTGTCCCAGAAACCTCAGTCCCAAATGAGAGGGTTTTTTTCTGTTGCAGGGGACATTGTAAATACCCAGAGATACCAGGTTTTACCAGATTATATTTATATGATAATTTTCCTTAAAACCCATCTCTATCTAAGTGAGTGAGTGATTAAATGTTGAATGTGATGAGTTTTCAA